TTTTAGTTTGTTTGTAGTTGGTCAGTAGTTTTGTCTATAGTTTGTCTGTAGTTTGTCTGTAGTTTGTTGGTAGTTTTGTCTATAGTTTGTCTGTAGTTTGTCTGTAGTTTGTCGGTAGTTTGTCGGTAGTTTTGTCTATAGTTTGTCTGTAGTTTGTCTATAGTTTGTCTGTAGTTTGTCGGTAGTTTTGTCTATAGTTTGTCAGTAGTTTTGTCTATAGTTTGTCTGTAGTTTGTCTATAGTTTGTCTATAGTTTGTCTGTAGTTTGTCTGTAGTTTGTCAGTAGTTGATTTTTAGTTTGTTTGTAGTTGGTCAGTAGTTTTGTCTATAGTTTGTCTATAGTTTGTCTGTAGTTTTGTCTATAGTTTGTCTGTAGTTTTGCCTATAGTTGGCTGTAGTTTGTCTGTAGTTTTGTCTGAAGTTGGTCAGTAGTTGATTTGTAGTTTGTCTGTAGTTATTCGTAGTTCGGGTGATAATTATTTGTGTTTTTCTGACCAGCAGTGTTATTTTGTGTCCATAGACGGCGGTGAGCCACAGCTCCAGGTAGTTGCTGCTGCAGCGCTCAGAGAACGGCCGGATGATGACATCCTGATCCTGCAGGTACTCCTGAAAAACAAACAAATAAACGTTGTTTGTTTGTTGACAAACAGCCGAGGTAGAGCTTAAACTCTCATTACACAGAAACACTCCGTTCTTCCAGCAGGTCCAAAATCATGAAACTAACATCTATGAATGTTGGATCAGGACTGGATCAGGACTGGATCAGGAGGACTGGCTCAAGACTGGATCAGGACTGGATCAGGACTGGGTCAGGACTGGATCAGGACTGGGTCAGGACTGGATCAGGACTAGGTCAGGACTAGATCAGGACTGGATCAGGAGGACTGGGTCAAGACTTGATCAGGACTGGATCAGGAGCACTGGGTCAGGACTGGATCAGGACTGGATCAGGACTGGGTCAGGACTGGATCAGGACTGGGTCAGGACTGGATCAGGACTAGGTCAGGACTAGATCAGGACTGGATCAGGAGGACTGGGTCAAGACTGGATCAGGACTGGATCAGGACTTGATCAGGACTGGATCAGGAGCACTGGGTCAGGACTGGATCAGGACTGGGTCAGGACTAGATCAGGACTGGGTCAGGACTGGTATTAGAACCGGTCCTCACCTCTGTGCTGTGATGAAGAACCGCCCATCTGAGGGGATCCACGATTTGCCAAGAGGTCAGAACCGACAGATCCAGCAGGAAAACCCAAATCAGAGCACGGCCTATTGGCTGCAAAGAACCAGATCAGAACCACATGAGAACCTCATCAGAACCACACGAGAACCACATCAATCAGAACCACACGAGAACCACATCAATCAGAACCACATCAGAACCACATCAATCAGAACC